AATCAAAGCAAGCAATCAACATGCTTGCAGATGCTTTTAAGCAAATTGAGTTAGGGGAAGTTTTCAAAACATCAAATTGCACCAGTGTCAAAGGCGTTTCACTCTCATGTGGTCAACTCCAGCATGGTTCTCACGTGAGTTGTGTATTTTTCATTGAGTGGGGAATAGGCCATCAAAATAACCACCACTCATCGCTGCACACGTGAACTGATTTCCAAACAATCTACAAACGTGTGTCAGTGACTGGAGTTTCTTTCTTTTTTTCAGGGCTAGAGAATTCATTATTAAGAGATCACAGAAACGCGTTGCTTTGAAAAAGAACAGCATCTGCGAAACTTTAAATTACAAAAAATCATAAGCACAAGGGTGAAAGTTATGCCATATGCAAAATTTCGTGTTGATCCATACAGACGTTTTCGAAGTATTAGTTACAGTGTAACGGCATGAGTTTTGAAACGCCCTATAAGTTAACTTTGTGCATTGTTTCTGTGTTTTAAGGCAAAATCAAGTCTTTTAATGTGGCCAAGCTAACAAATGGAAGCATTGGTTTCATTCAACAGACAGACGAAGTGGCTCTAGTTTGTGATACCGATGCCGAAGTGTCCACAATTGAAATAATACGAATTGACGATAAGACCACAGTCAGCATGTCCCGAAAATGGGAAAGGTCCCTCACATACCACATCAAAAGTGTTTCATGCTCTGATATGGGAAGCTATGAATGTGTTGAAGATAGGACAGAACGAATGACTGCAGATCTGGTCATTCTAAACTGTAAGATCTAGTCTCATTACATGGTAATGTGATGTTAAAATATTATATATGTCTGTCTGTGCATCTGTCTGTATGTATGTCTGTATTTCCGTCGATCCAACTGTCTGTTCATTCATCCATCCTTCCTCACTAAAGTGACAAAACAAGTCTATCACATTTATTAAATATGCTGGGAAAGCCAAATCTCTCATTATCTTCCTAGTTTCTTGAGCTGAATTAAGAATTTAAAATATTATCATCTAGAAAATAGGTGAGAATGATGCAATGTTTTGTTAAACTCTTTCAGGAACGGGCAACCAAATGTGCATTTTTCATTCGTTCTCAACCTGTGGATCTTCATCATGTAGCAGGTCCTTCGCAGAACGTCGCTCTCACCACAGTCTGCCTGAAAGAAACTCGGTCTCTCGCCAGTTCTCCCGCCTCATGCACTTTCACACTCAAGGAGTCACTTATATCCTGTGCCCATCTTCGTGTCGGTCGGCCTATGCCCCTCCTTCCTGGTACCATGCCTTCTGCTATAATTTTTTTTCAATCCGTCGTGGCGCTTGATATGACCAAACTATTTCAATTTTTGAGAAAGGATGCTGTTTATTAGCCAATCTTCCCTGATGTTCAGATCTTTTGAGATGTCAATATTTCTCATCTTCTTTGTCCAAGATATTCTGAGAATCTTACTCTAGTATTGCAGCTCAAAAGCAACTATTCTCTTTCTTAAGGATTGAGAGATAGTCCACGACTCACAGGGCAGATAAATGCTCTCAAAATTCTAATTTTGATCGCCTTGCTGGTGCTTAACCATAGACTTTTAAGGCTGTTCAATCTTTGCATTGCTATTGCCACCCTCCTTTTAATTTCTGTCGAACAGTCTCCATTATTGTTTACTTTATGAAGTCTTCTTCTTCTTCTTCTTCTTCTTCTTCTTCTTCTTCTTCTTCTTCTTCTTCTTCTTCTTCTTCTTCTTCTTCTTCTTCTTCTTCTTCTTCTTCTTCTTCTTCTTCTTCTTCTTCTTCTTCTTCTTCTTCTTCTTCTTCTTCTTCTTCTTCTTCTTCTTCTTCTTCTTCTTCTTCTTCTTCTTCTTCTTCTTCTTCTTCTTCTTCTCCTTCTTCTTCTTCTTCTTCTTCTTCTGCCTTTCTTTCCCCCAATGGAGCATAGGCCCTCAACCAACTCACGCCAAGTCGTTCTCTCCTTCGCCATTGCATGGAGCTCTCCCCATGTCCTCCCCATCTTTCTAACTTCATTCTTCAGCTCTCTTCTCCGTGTGTTTTTTGGCCTTCCTTCATTCCTATGCCCCTGTGGGTTCCAATGCAAAGACATTCTAGTTATGCTGTTATCTTGTTTTCTCAGTGTGTGTCCTATCCAACGCCAGCGTCTTTTCCTCACCTCTTGGTCCACTAGAGCATGTTTAGTTCTCTCCCAAAGCTCTACATTAGTTATTCTATCATACCATTTAATTCCCTCTATTCTGAGCAGGCACCAGTTAATGAATGTCTGTAATTTATTAGTAAGTGTATTAGTTGTTCTCCATGTTTCCGCCCCATACAATAGTACTGATTTGACATTAGAATTAAAAATGTTTAGTTTAGTATTTCTTTTAATTTCTTTTGACCTCCACAAATTCCCTAGTGCTATGAAAGCCCCTCTTGCCTTTTGTATTCTTATTTTAATATCTCTATCAGTTCCGCCATCTTTATCTACATTACTGCCTAAATAGGTGTACGACTCGACGTCTTGGAGTGGGGTGCCATTAAGAGAAACCATCATTACTATTTGCCTGATTTATTCTCATTATCTTTGTCTTTCCCTAACGGATTTTCAGACCAAGCTGCTGTGATCTCGCATTAAGTATATTTAATTTATCTTGCATCTGATTCCGTAAATGGGATAGAAGAGCAATATCATCAGCGAAGTCCAGATCATCAAGCTGTTTTGTAGGGGTCCACTGAATTCCATTCTTGGTGTTAGCAGTTACTGTTTTCATAATCCAGTCTATAGCCAGTAAAAATAAGAGAGGCGACAAAAGACATCCCTGTCGCACACCTGTTTCTATTTCAAATGTATCTGTTAGCTTTCCCTCATGAAGAACTCGACATTTCATGTCTTTAAATGTTGCCTTTACTAAGTTGATAATTTTCTGTGGGATTCCATAGTGTCCCATCAATTTTCAGAGAGATTCCTTATCAATGCTGTCAAATGCTTTTTCATAGTCTATAAATCCAATGTAAAGTGGTGAGTTCAGTTCAATGCTTTGCTCTATTATAATACGTAATGTGGCTATCTGGTCAGTACAGGATCTGTTTGTCCGAAAACCTGCCTGTTCATCTCTTACCTTTTTATCAATATCATCTTTTAATCTTTCCAAAATAATTCTACTTAATATTTTTCCACGAACTGACAGCAACATAATTACTCTTTAGTTTTCACACTCCTGTATATCACCTTTTTTTGGGCAGTTTCACAAGATATCCTTCTCTCCAGTCTGCTGGTATTTCTTCGGTCTTCCAGACTTTACTGAATAATTTATGTAGCAATTCTGTTGATGTGTTTATGTTGGCCTTGATGGCTTCAGCTGGGATACGATTTGGGCCTGCCGCCTTTTCTTCCTTGAGAAGATTTATAGCTTTTCTAATTTCCTCTTTGGATTGTATCTCACAGTTGACATCCAGTTCCATTTCTAAAGGCTGGATATCTGGGGGAACCTCTGGGCCTAGTCTATTTAGAAGCGTTTAAAAATATTCAACCCATCTGTCCATTTGATCTTTAGTGTAAGTAAGTACTTTTCCTTGACCATTTTTGATTGTGCTAGATCATATAGATATTTCACTTTATCTGCCCTTAAATGCCTCCTAACTTCCTTATTGGCTTCTATGTATTTCTCCTGAGCTCTAGCTTTAGCAGCTCTAGTTTTGCTATTGTTTAAGTCTGCCTTTTTACTTTTCCTATCTTCAATCAGTTTAATGGTTTCCGGTGTTATCTACGCTTTATGTTTCCTTTCTTTCTTGCCAAGAACTTCTACGCAAGATTCATTTCAGATTCCTTTAATCTGATCCCAGCAGACTTCTGTGCTGACATCTTCAGCTAACTGCTGCAACACCTGGTACTTATTAGAGACCGTAACTGAGAACTGTTCCTTAATTTCTTTATCTCTGAGAAAGCCTACATTATTTTGGTTTCTATGATTATAAGATGTTATATGTCTTTTTAGTTTCAACTTGATTTTACTTACCACCAGGAAATGGTCAGTAAATACATCAGCACCTCTGAAAGCCCTAACATCGTAAAGGGATGATCTAAACTTTTTGTTAATACATAGGTGATCAATTTGATTAGTTGTCTTATCGACTGGTGATTTCCATGTTGCCTTGTGCATTCTTTTATGGAGGAAAAATACTTCCACCAATAACATACTGGTTTCCTGCACAAAAATTTGTGAACAATTCTCCATTTTCATTCATTACTCCTAGACCATGTCTTGCCATGATTTCTTCATAACCTGTGTTATATGATCCTATGTTAGCATTCAGATAATCCATCTACATTTTTAAATTGCCCTTTTTTCATTATTTATAATATTTTTAAGCTGCATGTAAAATGCTTCCTTAACAGATGCATCTTTATCATTTGTTGGTGCATAACACTGTATTACCGACATGTTCACCTTCTGCTTTACTGTTCTAAAAGATGCTCTTATTATTCTAGGACTCACAGCTTCCCATTCTATTAGTGCCCTGTCTGCTTCTTTCAATAGCATCAGGGCTACTCCTTCACTGTGGGGCGAATTTTCCTCTGTGTGTCCTGAGAACAAAATAGTTTCCCCTGAATTTAGAATACTTTTCCCCGCCACAGTCCATCTAGTTTCACATAACCCTAAAATACTAATTCTATAATGTTTAATTTCCTTTCCTATTTCCATTGTTCTCCCTATATCATAGAGAGTTCTAACATTCCAGGTGCCAATTCTGGAGGTTTTCCTAGCTGAGAGGAAGTACGTCAACGATCCGGACTCCTTACGGCTTTCTCCACACTTCTTTTATTTAAAGAGCCTCCCCTCATCTTGGTTGGCTGGATTTTACTTGCTTCTCTTTTTGACTAGTTTATGGAGTAGCAACGAAAATAATTTTATGGTTGGGGTTCACTACAAAATGAGGATCTGTATTAAAAGGCACTGCATTGGGGAGGCTGAGAAGCACTGCTTTAAAAGATATGTTTGTTTTCCAGTTCGTTTTGTTCTTAAGGGTTAATCATAGAATGCAGTCACATCTATAAATGCCTTACTGAAAGAAATATATTTTTTAATATATAAGGCATTTGTAAAGTCTCATTACTTTTTGCATGTAGAAAAAAAAAAACTAAGAGAAAAAAAAACAACCCAATAAGAACAAAAAACAAAAAACTAAGCAAAAAAAAAAAAAGCAAGCAAAAAAAAAAAAAAAAAACTAAGTGCATCATCATCATCATCATAAATCACTTCTGCCGTTAAGCGGCGTGGGGAGGAATAATTTGCGATCCATTGCACGTTGGCTTACAATGGCTATTGTGATGTCGTGACAGTGTAAAATGTCTTTAATGTTGTCGATCCATTTTTCCACAGCCGCACTCTTGCTCTTGTAGCTGATCCTCTGAGATGAGATGTAGTGCTTGTGATGGTATTTGATCTTGCGGCATTCTAACGAGATGGCCAAACCACTTGATCTGCTGTTTCTCGATGAATCTAGTACAAGGTGTTGTTCCCACAGTTTGCCTGATAGTTTCATTATTCACTCGATCTCGGATGGTTAGGTTGGCTGCTTTTCTCAGGCACCTCATCTCGCAGGGGGTGATTTTGCGTATCTGGGCTTTAGATAGTGTCCATGTTTGGCACTGGTAGCTTAATGTTGGAATGAATATGCTATTAATAATCTGTCTCTTTGCACCTATAGTTATGCTTGGATGTCTTAATAATGGTGACAATTGGTATATAAGTCTACTTGCTTTCTGACATCTGGTTTCTATTTCTCTGTCAATTCTACCATCTTCCGTGATCATACTTCCTAGATATGTAAACTCTTTAACTTGATTCAGGACAGAACCATTCAGCTGTATGTATAGTGGGGCAGAATGTCTACTAACTTGCATTGTTTCGGTTTTGTTTATATTGATCTTTATGATGTATTTACTGCATGTTGAGTTTAACCTGCTAATGTGGTCTTGCAGTCACTCGTCTTCAGGGTAGAACAAGCACTGGTCGTCAGCAAATAGTAGTTCGTTTAATGTGGGTGAATCGATTACTTCTCCTGATTTGTGTACTTCTTCATGATTATAAAGGTTTATGTTTTTTTTTTCATAACTTCCTTCTTCAGATATTCTGTCTATATAGATGTTTAATAAAAGTCTGGAGAGCACACATCCTTGTTTCACACCTGTTTTGACTGTGAACATATCTGATATGCCTTCTTGTGTTTTTACTGCACTTTGGCTTGTGTGGTACATGGCTATGATGTTTTCTAGTAACTGTCCTTGTACCCCGTAGTTCTCAAGAACAGACCACAGTTTGTTTCTTTCCACTCTATTAAAAGCCTTTTCCTGATCTATAAACACAATAGTTTGTTTGGTATTATACTCAATGGCTTTCTCACACACTTGCCTCAGAGTGAATAATGCATCTGTGCATTCTCTGCCTTTTCTGAAACCGAATTGTGATGCACTCAGCAGTTATTCAGCTTTGGGTCTAACTCTCTGTTCTAGTAATTTGGCGTACATTTTTCCTACGTAACTCAGTAGTGATGTACCTATGTATGCTTCACATTCTCTCCATTTAACTTTCTTTTTCCATAACGGTACTATAAATGCCTGTTGCCACTCAGCTGGGGCCTTTCTTTCTTCCCAAGCTATTTTAAAAATTCTAGTAAGCCATTTAACACCCACTTCGCCGCATGCTTGGATCCCTTCTGAATTAATTCCATCCAGACCTGGTGCCTTGTTTCTAGGGCTTTTCTGTTCTTACTTCCACTGCAATGAAATTTAGTTTCTCTTGTTTGCAGCTTTGAGGTAAAAAGTTAAAATTATCTACGTGCATGTGGGGTTGAGAAGTTCTTAAAAACACATTGCCCATCTTGCCAACCTCTGTTGTGGACTAAATAGAGGTCTGCCTCTCTTGTTGTTGATAATAGTTGTTGGGTTGCAACTTATGTCTCTTTCTCTCATAATTTTTACATGTTTATAGAATTCTATAGGAGAGTTCTTGCTGAGGGTAGCCATCTGTTGACCATAATTTCTCTAAGACTCGTCTTTAGATGTTTTAATTTTGCGTTTTGCTTCTCTTCTTTCTAATCTGTAATGTACATAATCTTGCTGTGATTTTGATTTTGTCCATTTTTTTATATGCCTCCTTCTTTCTGGATACGTAAGCTTTAACTTCGTTGTTCCACTAAATAGTTCTTAAACGTTTTACATCACCTACCCTTCTGACTACGCATTTGGTTTGAAGTGTGTTGACAACGCCTGCAGTTGGTATTTCCAACGCCTGTTATAATGAATATTTTGCTGGTACTTTCCAGGGTCCCCAAAACCGCGTTAAATCATAGCAGTAACTATTGTTATTAATTTAACGACTTTTTCAAGGACACTTCTAAACACGTCACTCACTTGGGTGTTTCACATGCGTTCTTCATACAAAGTTTAGCAGTTAAACTATGGTTTGCTCTGCTGGTTTTGCCGCCAAATTGCTTGGGAAATAGAAGAACTAAAAAAAAAAAAACACTGCCTCCCTAACAAGCATGTCGTAAGAGTCAACAAATTAAGGGCTACCTTTGAAATCGAAGTTTATCTGCCTGAGAGGCAATAAACCCCACGTTTTGCATACACATGAACTATATCTGGAAAACATATGTACATGCAACATATTTTAAAACATAACTAAATTCCAGAGGTGAACGAACAGCCAAAACTTTCTGCTGGAATTACTAGCCATTGAACGCTAGGAGGAAGAAGAAGAAGAAGAATTTGGTAATATCTGTCAAGCACTAATCATATTATGTCAAAATCTCACACAATACTCGTTGCAGGTCCACTTCAACCTTGCGATGGTGCAAGTGTCCGGAGAACGATATTTGTCAATACCGGTGAAAACGTCAAATTCTCTGTCTGTGTCCTAGCAGTTCAGAAAATTGCTGACTATGCACTGTTCAATGGCGAACAGATTAGAAAGAAAAATCATACAACTGACTGGACATGGGATTATGAGAGGGTTGTTTCCCCGGTTCTATCCATTAGCAGATATCATATTCATGTCAAGCGTGATCAAGTGGATACAGAGACGTATGGACTTTTGAATTTAACGATATCAAGCGATCAGGGTCTAACGTATCAAGTCAACTTTACTATCATACTTGAACCTTCAGGTGAGACAACTTTCTTCTGTATCATATCAACTTGGCTAACATAATTAGGCCTCCAGGTGAGTCATATGTTTTGTATCATTCATCAGTCATCGTCAGTTCTCGTTATGCCTAGTGGCACATAGGGCTTCCCTGTTTTCCTGTCCTGTGCAATCTTCAGTGCAGTTTTCCATGTCAAAGATGCCGCACTCAGGTCGCTCTCCAACGTTCGTCTCCATGTTGTTTTTTGGGGGCCCCTGTTTTCTCTTTCCCTCTGGTGTCCATGTGAGCGCTGTTTTGGCAGGTATATCAGAAGTTATTCTCATAACGCGGCCAAGCCATTTCCATCTTCTCTTGGCAATCATACTGTCTAAAGTTTCTTGGTTTATGGCTTGAAGTAGTTTAGTGTTCAAGATTGTATCTGGCCAGAAAATTTTGATAATTCTACGTAGACATGTGTGGTGGAAGGTGGACAGCTTGTGTGCATCCTTTTTGGTCATTCTCTAGCATTCCGCTCCATAAAGAAGAACTGGCAAAATGATGCTCTTGTAGAGTCGGAGTTTCGTTCCTATGCAGTAATTGTTGGATTTCAAGATTTGTCTCATCCTTCCAAAAGCAGCTCTAGCTTTGTTCAGGCGTGACTGTGTGTCTTCCTCTGTCCCTCACAGTAGGGATACCACACTGCCAAGATATGTGAAATGTTCTAAATTTTCAAGTGATTGGTTACTTATGGTCACTGGTATCATTCACGATTCTACTTAAGCCTCTAGGTGACACATATATTTTGTATCACGTCAACGTCTCTATCACACTAAAGGTCAAAATAAAACCGCTATTATGTATCCTGTCAATTTCTCTAGCATACCTGAGACTTCTAATTTTATCATGTCCACTTTACTGTCATAATAAGATTCAAAGTGAAAACTCTTTTTTGGTATCTCTCTCATACTTGAACCTGCAGATAAGACCTACATTTGTATCATGTCAACTTCACTAGCATACTTAAATCCCCAGGTGAGACTTTTTTTTTGCATAATGTAAACTTCACTCTCATAAACGCTGCAGGTCAAACTTCTAATTTCTTTCATGTGTACTGTCATCATCGTCATCCTCATCATCATCATCAGGTGCCTTGCCACTGGCGTGGGCGATCATGCCTCTCCATAATCTTCGATCTCCTGCAGCATGTATCAGTTCGTGTGACGACACACCTCTATGCCATGCAACAAGACTGTCAAGCATCTTCTCTCGTTGTCTTCCTCTATCTCTCCTTCCACATATCTTTCCAGTGGTCACAACATGTTCTATTTTCCCTCTTCTCATAACATGGCCAAAAATTGATGACTGTCTCCTGCTGATGTCTGTGATAAGTTGTTTTCGGGCTCCCGCCTCTTTCAAAACCTCTTGGCTGCTCTTTTTGGCTGTCCAAGGTATTCTAAGCATTCTTCTGTAAAACCACATCTCCGCGGCCTCCAGAAATTGTTTGGCCTGCCTACTGATTGTCCAGAATTCACAGCCATATGTTAAAACTGGATGTGTGTAGCAAGCAAGAATTCTTTTTTTAACTCTCAATGACAAAGATATATTGCACAAGATGTTTTTCATTTTATAAAATGCAGTTGTTCTCAGTTATACATCTTCCATCTGATGTTATCCATGTGCACAGATACTTAAATTTCTGTACTTGACCTAAAATAACACCATCAACTTTTATTACACACTTCTTTTCTTTGATACCACCATTACTTGGTGCTACGGTCATACATAACACTTGAAGTGAGAACTATATTTAGTATCATGTGAACTTCTCTCTCACACTTAAACCTCTAAATAAAAACATATATTTGTATCATGTCAACCTCACTATCATACTTAAACATCCAGGTGAGACTTCTAATTTGTATCATACCGACTTCACTAACATATTTATTGAACATCCATGTGAGATTTCTAATTTCTCTCATGTCAACTTCACTCTCATATTTACAATGTTTAAGTGAGAACTATATTTGGTACCATGTGAACTTCAATCTCATACCTGAACCTCTAGATTAGACTTCTATTTGTATCATGTCAACTGCACTGTCATACTTAAAACTCCAGATAGACTTCTAATTTGTATCATGTCAACTGCACTGTCATACTTAAAGCTCCAGGTAGACTTCTAATTTATATCATGTCAACTGCACTATCATACTTAAAGCTCCAGATAGACTTCTAATTTGTATCATGTCAACTTCACTGTCATACTTAAAGCTCCAGATAGACTTTTAATTTGTATCATGTCAACTTCACTGTCATACTTGAAGCTCCAGATAGACTTTTAATTTGTATCATGTCAACTGCACTGTCATACTTAAAGCTCCAGATAGACTTTTAATTTGTATCATGTCAACTTCACTGTCATACTTAAAGCGCCAGATAGACTTCTAATTTGTTTCATGTCAACTGCACTGCTATGCTTAATGCTCCAGATAGACTTCTAATTTGTATCATGTCAACTGCACTCTCAAACTTGAACCTCTAGATTAGACTTTTATGTGTATCATGTCAACTGCACTGCCTTACTTAAAGCTCCAGGTAGACTTCTATTTGTATCATGTCAACTTCACTGCCATACTTAAAGCTCCAGATAGACTTCTAATTTGTGTGATGTCAGCTGCACTGCCATACTTAAAGCTCCAGATAGACTTCTAATTTGTATCATCTCAACTGCACTGCCATACTTAAAGCTCCAGATAGACTTCTAATTTGTATCATCTCAACTGCACTGCCATACTTAAAGCTCCAGATAGACTTCTAATTTGTGTGATCTCAACTGCACTGTCATACTTGAAGCTCCAGATAGACTTCTAATTTGTATCATCTCAACTGCACTGCCATACTTAAAGCTCCAGATAGACTTCTAATTTGTATCATCTCAACTGCACAGCCATACTTAAAGCTCCAGATAGACTTCTAATTTGTATCATGTCAACTGCACTGCGATACTTAAACCCCAAGGTGAGACTTTTTCTTTTGCATCACGTCAACTTCACTATTATACTTACAACTCCAGGTAAGACTTCTAATTTATGTCACGTCACTTTTATATTTAAAGCTCCAGGCTAGACTTCTACTTTGTGTTATTCCTCTTCAGTATTTAACATAAAACTCCAAGTCAGAACTCTATTTCGTTTCATGTGAACTTTATTCTCATATTTTAACCTCCAGATAAGACTTATATTTGTATCATGTCGGCTACACTGTCATACTTTAATACTTTCATACTTAAAGCTACAGGTTATACTTTTTTTTTGCATCATGTAAACTTCATCATTATACTTATACCTCCAAGTGCGACTTCTGTTTTGTCTTATGTCAACTCAACTGTCATACTTCAACCTCCTGTTGAGACTTTTGTGTTCTAAATTTTTTAAAAATCTATTTATGTGTTACAAACATCAGTGGTTTTACTGATTCCTAGTAAGTTCAGTAGAGGGATGGCAAAGAATTCACAGTTACGTCTTACTGTCATTCAACAGCCGAACAAAAGATTGTCAAGTCTGTAACACATTTTTAGTACACTTATACATACTCAAAAATAAACATACAAACAAAAGAAGATATGGGAGGAGGAAGAGATAGACAAAGAAGAAGGAGAGCAAGAAGGAGGCATATAAGAAAAGGAAACCTCTTTCAAGTGAGCAACACTAACAGTAATATTATATGTTACTCTGATTAGTGTGTGCTATATGGCAAAAACATCATAACATATTTGAAATAATATAATGCGTGTGTACACCTGCTTTAAATTTATACTGAAATGCTCAAAGAAGGATGGGAGACGCTACCTAAAAATACTGGTTGGGAGATGGCTAGGGGTGTCTAAAATATTGGTGTGGGGGGAGGCTGCCGAAAAATATATGTTTGTGAGGGGCGAGTGGGGTGGGGGGTGAGCTCAGCCCTCCCTAAAAAAAATGCATGGGTGGGGGAGGTTCAAGATACCTGAACATCCAGGTCCCAGCTACTATACCCTATCTACTGGATGTTGTAACATAAATCTTCTTTATGCCAGGTCCTCCAGACTGCTCCACAAATATCACAGTTACAGATTTTGGACACGATTACGTCACCATCTCCTGGGTTCCCGGACTGGATCGCGGCTCCAGACAACATTTTACTGTTTACCAGTCCACAGACAACCTCGCCTGGCTCAGTCCTGGAGTCGACACAGAAAATTCAACAGTTAGCGTGAAAGGGTTGAGTTCAAATACCTCTTATTATTTCAGAGTTGTTTCTCTAAATCAATACCAGAAATCACACGATGCTAGTACTTGTCAGGAAACAGTGTTTGTAACGACAAGTAGGTACATTTTCTTGGTCTTTGGATGAAGACTTCATCTCCTTCCCGCCCTATCTTTGCTTCTGCTGCTAATGCTACTACTGCTGCTGCTCCTGTTACTTCTACTGCTGCTGCATCTACTACTACTGATGCATATACTGCTGCTGCTAACAATACTCATGCTGCTGCGTCTACTACAACTGCTGCTTCTGCTGCTGCTACTCATGCTACTGCTGCTGCTACTTCTACTGCTGCGAATGCTACTATTTATACTACTACTATTACAACTACTGCTGCTACTGCTACTATTTATACTACTACTATTACAACTACTGCTGCTACTGCTACTATTTATACTACTACTATTACAGCTACTGCTGCTACTGCTACTATTTATACTACTACTATTACAACTACTGCTGCTAATGCTACTATTTATACTACTACTATTACAACTACTGCTGCTACTGCTACTATTTATACTACTACTATTACAACTACTGCTGCTAATGCTACTATTTATACTACTACTATTACAACTACTGCTGCTACTCCTGCTACTGCTGCTGCTACTTCTACTGCTGCTTATGCTACTATTTATACTACTACTATTACAACTACTGCTGCTACTGCTACTATTTATACTACTACTATTACAACTACTGCTGCTACTGCTGCAAGCAGAGTACGAACCTATCTTTGTTGTCATTACGTTTGAATGCTTGAGTTGTGACAAAGTAAAATCAAACAGTGGATTGCGAGAACATATGTGGTGACTGATTGCAAAATAATAGAGCGGCAACCAAAGCTTGAAACATTTTTATTATTGAAAAAGATCAAATATGGACTGCGACGTAAACAACAGCGGTAACTATTGGGATGAGCTGGTATAAATTATATCTACTTTTTCATACAATGAATATACATATTTCTCAGTCTTGTTCTGGTCTTTTTATTTGTAGATTCTGGATTTCTTTTTTTTTTTTTAGAAAACAACAAAGGAAATGGCTTGCTCGTAAAACGCGGATGCCAACAAACAGTATACCACAGCAAGCAATGAGATGCACACCTGGCGAGAAGAGATGAAGAGGCCGGCCATGCAAACACTCGACAATTGAAATAACATTTAAGAATCTTATTATCAGGCAAGTTTCCGGTAAATTATACTTCATCCCGACGCCGCAAGGTATAAGAGGATCAAAACGAGAAGATGATAAGATTAGTTCTGTGTATTCTGTCCAATCGGATACGATTAAAATCCCATTCCCACACAGACAAAAAAAAAAAAAAAACAATTTGTGACAAAACTGGCTTTACAGTCACCCATATATATCGGCGAGGTGTGTGACAGCAGTTCACACTTTCCATTCATCTTCTACTCTAGCACTCAGACCCCTCTGAGATTTATTGCTGCAGATATCACCCGCCTCTATTCATCTCTCTGGCTGACCTTCTCTTTGCAGTTGGTGACACCAGGTGTTTGTAGGTCTGCCTAGATTTTATCTTCCCATCGTCTTCTTGGTCTGTTTCGGGGTCTACGACCATTCATCTCCTTTGTGTACACAGCTACTAACGTATAATAATTAGCCTTCATGCCAGTGATCGATGGTGATTTGAACAGATAATGAATCTCTTTATTGATTCTCATTCTCAATTCCTCGATGTTTGCATCGTTGCTGCACTTTTCATTGCCAAAGACAAATTTTTTTACTATTTATTATTACTACCACCAAGAAGACGATGGAGAGATTATGTCCAGACAGACCTACAAACACTTGGTGTCACCAACTGGAAAAAGAATGCCAATCAGAGAGATGAATGGAGTCGGGTGATATCTGCAGCAATGAACATCAGGTGCTCGGAATGCTGAAGAAGAAGAAGAAAAAAGAAGAACAAAAATATTACCACTTACTATTTAATGTCTCAAACATCGCGAAAAGAACTTTCGCTGCAAGCCAGGACACGCAGGAGTTTTAACGTTTGAAAGGTACGAAAGTTCTACCTGTTCATGCACATTCTTAACATCGAAGCGACAATGAGGAAAATATCACGTGGTACCATTTTCAGTGTGGCCGTTACCTGCTAACGCTTAAACATGTGAAAAATCCCATTCTCTTTGGTCGATGGAATTTACTACTCATCATTTGTGATGCACGAAAACAAAATATATCATTTGCAGATCTGGACATTCATTAGTTGATTAGTTATTTTTGTTTTCCCCTATAATTTAGAGTTTCACTGTGCATTCAAAGTACGTTTGTGTAAATTTAGTTTAGACTTTATTTTCTCAGAGAGTTTTGTCAAACACGATGAGGTGTTCTACGCTGATATTCTAATCCTGACGCTTTCAGTCTGCTCTTTTCTGGTCATCGTGTTGCTGTTGGCGCTTCTTTGTTGGAGAAGAAGAGGTAAACCCATTTGCTATTTATTTAATTGTTATTTTATGCTAGACAGTGGTCCTTGTCTGCAGAGAGAGAACGAACGAACGAAATTTGTTTTCAAACTGTTGCAAATTGGGCACACAGGCTCGTCTTGCATTCGGCCCTCCCAAACACCCACCTTTCACACACACACACACACAGAGCGAGAGAGCGAGAGAGAGAGAGAATAGACAGATAATAGAGAGTGAGAGGGATAGAGAGAAATTCGTTGGTGGCTAGTTTAGGTTTCAACATTTATATAGATGGCTCGCCCTCATACAACTTCACATATGTGCTAGCGGATATTAAAAAAAATATAAATTCACTGCCCCATCTGAAAACTAGTGAAAAACGTGTCAGCCCGTCAGCATATTTGAGCTTGCATCTGAAAGTTCAAAAACATCAGGCAGTTGTCAGATGTGCCAACACTAACGTTCCCACGGCAGAATCGCAGCTTACTGTCAATCATTGCAGGGTAAGTAGTCCTCGTCGAATCCCCAGCGGTTGCAGGATTTATTTGTTTCTTTTACTATATCTCTGACAAAGTATGCTCTGTCTCCCCATTGTCAGCTAACATGACATGCTCTGTCTGGAAAAGCCGAGATCACAATATCTAAAACACAAATATGGCCAGTTGTCCTGTAAGGCTCTAAAACCGGGAGTACAAATAAAAGAGTGGAGGCCTTACTGCATATTCTTTCTAACAACAAGGTCTGGCGATGAAACATTAGACCCATCACAGATCCAGTTAGCGGGAAACGGAGTGGGAGATAATCAATCAGGTGCAGTCTCCGCTGTCAATGTTGGCTGCAGTGGTTCACCAACACTCTCTGTCTCGTGTCGTGGTACTACACTATCTGAGGCTGCGGTCCGTCCATCCCTATATGTTTTCCTCCAACTTGAATATATGTCTACCTCTTGCTCTCTCACCTTCAACATCCCCCCCCCCCCCCCCCCAATATACCTTTTTTTTAAAGATTGTTGGGTCTTTTAATGAAGAGTGAAAAGCCGCAATGAAAATCCTAAACTGTTTAAATCACCCCTGATAACAGTCATCTTCAGGAAAAATAGATTGCTACGATACATTCAGAGAATTGCAGATCATAGAGACAGTAACTCTGTGCAAAAAAGAGTTAAAGGGAGAAAATGCAAAGCAAGCCAAGAGGAAGTTGGGAAATATCACAAACACAATAACACACAAGCATGCGCGCACGCGCGCACACACACACAGAGGCTATCCTTCAGAGTCATTAACTAGTCATGGAAAGTCAGTCACACAGATGAATTGAGTCCGGGAAGATCTACACAATGAACCAAAAGGGCTCGACACGCTCAAATACAGGAAGAGTAAGAATACATATCCGTGGACGACTCAGCCCCATTAAGATGGGTACTAGATAATTTCTAATTTTGTATGAGAAATACTATGTGAAGGAAAGGCAACGAGAACAAATGCTAAGCACACTACTATACGTGCTTCGGCTAAGATCGTGTGGAGCTTTACATCTCCTATTCCTAATGCAGCATCTGTTTTGGGGACTATACTTGTTACAGACGTGTAAAGCTTCTAAATTACTTTGATACACTCAAACACACCAACCCTCCCCTACTCAGACACACTCACTCACTCTCACTAAAACACACTCACTCACTCTCACTCACACTCACTCACTCTTTCCCACCCAGACACACTCACCCACTCACTTATTCAAACACTTCACTTACTCTCTCAAACACACTCAAATACATCCAGTTTTTGTCCCATTCAAGCCCACACACTTTCTCCCACTCAAGCGCATCCACTCTTTCTCCCACTCGAACACACCTATACTCTGACTCAACTTCTTTCAGCGAGCAGACGACATATGGCAGACACAGTTCCAAGAAAAAGCGGGCCCGCAGCCAAAACAACAGAACATAGCCCAGACTCAGTAAGTATACTCATACATTTCCCGTCGATTTTTATTTTATTACTGGCCGGTTCTGCACCACTTGGTGGTGAACTGATGTATGACAAGCTGAATGTTGTGAAGGCCCCTTGGGAGCGAGTAAACAGTGCCGAGGCACAGATAGATCATTGCGGTCTGAGGAGAATGGCACTGCGAGTAGTTACAAGGGGATCTGGCTGACGCTCGACACTCAGGGGGAAGGCGAGACGGTATACAATCAGACAGTTACTGGTACCATCAAAATTTTAATTCTTTTCTTGCTGCTGACGACGGAGACAGAGCGCTTATGGGGGTGTCCTAGGGCTGTGATGTCGATTCCTAATTTTACATTCAACATGAATTTGATTACTGAAGTGTTGCCTTTGCGTCCTGTGCTATATAGGCTGAAAATCTTAAAATGTGATGGACTCACTTATTTAATGACCTTCGAGGCAGTGAAGATAAAGGAGAAGATAATACAGACAGATAGTCAGACAGACAGTCAGACAGACAGTCAGACAGACAGTCAGACAGTCAGTCAATCAGTCAGTCAGTCAGACAGACAGACAGACACGCAAGCAGACAGGCAGACAGACATACATACATACAGACAGACAGACAGACAGACAGACAGACAGACAGACAGACAGACAGACAGACAGACAGACAGACAGACAGACAGACAGACAGACAGACAGACAG